TATCTAATTTCGGTCAAACAAATTATGATGACGTCCGAAGAGATGACTTCAACTTTACTATTTGGAATGCTATGTGCATGCACAATAGATTCATTGCAAGTAATAACTCTCCACTAAGGAAATGATCGACAAAAAATTCACACAGATCAATGGCAAAGTATTATATCACTTGTAACACCCATTTGAAATTGATGTTGTCTAATGATTTTATACGAATGAAATTTCAAACATTGATAAAAGCACATGTGTAAACAACTCATAAATCAGGCCGTAGTTTCCTCGTTTGAAGTCATTTGCATTTGTCATGTTGGAGTCTTTTATAGCTTACTTTTTGGGTATGGAGTTTTCCAATTGCTTAAGTAAAGGCAACAGTAGTATACCGATGTTCGAAACTCATAAATCGATAGAAATAAAAACAAATCCGGGTTACAAACTAAAACTGAGGGAAACGCATCAAATATAAGAGGAGAACAACGACACAACAAAAACACACGGTGACCTTTATCTTCTTCTTGATATACCCGACGACGACATGATCACCGGTCTCAAGTATTCCTATTTTGGAAGTGGTTCATTTACCATTTTACTCGGGTATATCAAGAAGAAGATAAAACGTATAACCGAAATGTTCAAAAACGTTTTAAACAAAAAATTCTGATTATGTTCTAGCACATATACAACACCTGCTGTTGTTGTACTTTCATACAGAATAGCAACCCGGTAATTAAAAATAAGGAGATGTGGTATGATAGCCAATAAGACAACTATCCACCAAAGTAATAGAAAGGAGTGGATGTAAGCAATTATAGGCAACCGTACTGCCTTCAACAATGAGAAAAATCCATACCGTATAGTCGGCTATAAAAGGCCCCGACACAAAAAATATGAACAATTCAATTGAGAAAACTCACGGCCTAATTTATAACAAAACAATTTACGAAAAACAAATATGACAGACATGAACCAACGACAACCACTGAACTACAGGCTCCTGACTTGGGACAGGCACATAAAGAATGTGGCGGGGTTAAACATGTTTGTGAGCGCTCAACCCTCCCCCTAACCTGGGACAGTGGTGTTACAGTACAACATAAGAATAAACTATATAATTAGTTGAAAAGGGTTTAACTCATCAGATCGAGACAAAGCAGAAAAACATCTAACAAAAAAACACAGACCGGACGTGGTAGGGTATCTATACATCCATAACAACATAAAAAAGACACAAAGTATAGATCTGAGAATACTCGCAGTTACTGACAGCTGGTTCAAAGCCAATTACAACTAATAAAAAATCATGTATCTAAGACTCAAAATATCAATCAGTACACATCCAACATCCATAGGATTTAGTGTAAAGACGTCATTAACAGTCAGAGAAAAACATGACTTTGAGCAATGCCAAAACATAGGTATCGATAGATTGTAGTACATTGAAAGTAAATATGTGTATAACAATAATATTAAGTATGGTTTTAATTTACTGATAACGAAACACTTGTTTAAACATTTTGATTGTTTTTGGCTTTCCATATAATACATGTGTTTAATATCAATATAAATTTAGAATGGAAACGGGGAATGTGTCAAAGAGACAACAACCCGACCAAAGGGCAGAAAACAGCCAAAGGCCACCAATGGGTCTTCAACAAAGTGAGAAAAGCCAGAAAATCACACTAAACTCCGAAACATATAAATGAACCAAAATTTAAAAAAAACATACAAGACTAACAAAGGCCAGAGGTTCCCGACTTGGGACAGGTGCAAAAATGCGGCAGGGTTAAACATGTTTGGTGAGATCTCAATCCTCCCCCTATACCTCTAGTCAATGTGGAATAAAAAAAACACACAGCAATACAGTAAAACTCAGTTTAAAAGAAGTCCGAGTCTGATGTCAGAATAGGTAACAAAAGAAACTTAGCAAAAGGACAATGATGAACATAAATTAACAAAGGACTACTAGCAGTTACTGACATGCCAGCTCCAGACCGCAAACAAACTGATTGAAAGATTATGTATTCATCATATGAAAATCAAGCACATTCCCTCCCGTTAGGAGTTTAGTATCATACCATCATAAAGTATACGAGAAGAACATAACCCGTAGCATGCCAATAACTGGTTTTAGAATAAATGTGTTTATTTCCGACGCAAAGACCCTATGAGTGAATCAATATTTATTCCAACAAATGCCATCTTTAATGACTTGACAACATTATCGTTACTATATCCCTTCTTAATAAGTCTGTTTAAAGGTTTGGTTAGATTTTGAGGTGAAAGAAGACATTTTTGTGCTTTATAAAGATTATTATCATAAAAGATTGGATGTCAAATACCTGAACGTATAAGATGTCTGCACGTTGATTTATATTTACGAATGATATCCTTGTAACGATGATGAAATTAGTAAATATTTGGTGTAATAATTTTTCAGTAATACAGAGATTTCTTTCGAGAAAATCAAATACATTGTAACATACACGAGCATATAAGATGGTGCCAATGGAACCATATAAAAATGGATAATTAAAAATAGAAAACTTAAAATCATCTCTTTTATCTTAAATTTTAGTATTAAGCTTCCCGTTAAAGATGAAGATATCAAGATCCAGGAAAGGACAGTGTTCATTGTTAGTATTAGCTTTATTTAAAGTCAGTTCAGTATGATAAATATCTTTAGGTTACATACTGAAGTCGTCATTATTGAGAGCAAATATATCATCCAAATATCTAAAAGTATTATTAAATTTTTGTATCAATGTTGTTTGGATGGGTGTTTGCTGATTTAAGTCTTAAATTGTAACTCGTAACAATACAGAAAAAGGTCCCCAATAAGTGGTCCACAGTTAGCCCCATTTGAATTCCGATAACTTGACGATATACGGAATCTCCATAGCGAACAAAAATGTTATATAGTAAAAGATGTAAGTGCAGTTATGGTATCAAAGCAGGTCCAATTGACATAATTCTTTTGTCTGTTGTTACTAAAATAAATAACCTAATATAATATGTTTGTTAATCAGGTCACACAATCCAACCAGATTCTTAAACCGACATAAAACTAGTGGTATACGTGCTAGCGCTGTTTATGGCGTCAACAATGTTTTAGTTTGTGATTAGGTCAATTTAAGGGGAATCACAAGTTATTTTCGTTTATTTTTTTGAACATAGATCAAACCGTTGGTTTTCTCGTTTGAAATGTTAAACATTTTTTTTTATGTCGGAGTTTTTTATAGCTTACTATACGGTATGGGATTTGTCTATCTTTGAATGCCGTACGGTGACCTATTATTGCTTACTACTACGTCATTTAGTTACTGATAAGAATAAGGAGATGAGGTACGATTGCCAATGAAACAACCACTCACTAAAATTCAAATGAAGCGGATGATAGAAATTATAGGCAACAGTACGGCCCTCCAACAATGAGAAAATACCAATACCGAATAGTCGGCTATAAAATGCCCCGCCATGAAAAATGTGAAACAAATCAATTGGGAAAACTAACGAACTAATTTATAAATAGAAAAAACATTTACGATATTAACAAAAGATAAACAAAGAATTAAAGGCTCCTTACTTGGGACAGGCACATAAGGAATAAGTCTTGGTAAAACATGTTTGTGGTATTTGTATATTAGATATAAAAAAATTCATTCAACTTAAATTTTTAAGATTGTAACGGAAAAAAAATAAATTTACCATTATTAACGTCGAATTGTGCCGCTATTGAATTAGTGAGAAAAAACCACATTGATGTCATCAGTTGCAGACATATAGCTATTTAGTCCAGTCCTGATTTCTGTCACCAAAAACATCTGAGAGATTACTTGAGCTACGGCTTAGATGCTACTATCCCCCTATCAGTTCTAGGTATAACAGTTTTCTTTACAGAAAATTCTAATAAAAATATGTTATTAATACAATTTACGACTCAGAAAAACTCTCAGATTGTGATATAGTTTCAGATTGTACACTTTCACCCAGTTTCAAAATTGGAAACAAAAACTATCCCACACTTTAACATGTTTAAAGAATTCTCAGTTAAAGAATGTGGATGATTAACACCCTCTACCTTTTTTAGAGAAAAAATCTGTTTAAAATCTGTCTCCTCAATTGTGAGCACAAAGTAATGTATTAGTGAATGAACACCATGTAATAGTTACAGAATATTCAGTGAAATTTAATTGGTTAATAATGATTGTACAAAGCAAAGCAACAAAGAATCATTCCATTATAATATCATGATATAATTCCCGTCATTTGGACGACGACTGTTAACCTTAGAAAGTTCGATTCCAGTCGTTCATCCTCATAGCCCTGCTTGAGTATTGTTTGTGTTAGTAGCACGACTCATTCTTGTCAATGGAGTCTATATAATGTGAACATGCACGTGCGTAACGTTTCAATTCAGATATTAGTTTACTCGTTTGGATTGTTTTACATTTGTCATTTCGGGGCCTTTTATAGCTGATAATGCGGTATGAGTTTTACTCATTGTTGAAGGCCGAACTGTGACCTATATGTGTTAATTTCTGTGTCATTTGGTCTCTTGTGGAAAGTTGTCTCATTGGCAATCATAACTCATCTTCTTATTTTATATATGAATGTCTTACGTACGATAGGACAGAGGTTGTGTTACTACTGAAAAATTGGGAGGCAATCTCTTCCATCAGCAGTTTACTTCTCAACTGCTCTCTATGTCGAAGAACTAGGCGAAGTTCAAAGAAAGAAGCAGACTTGTATGCATTATGTTATTTTTCAAAAAAAATGGAATGGAAAAGATACAAGTCTCGTCACTTTGAACTATTCTATGAAAATACATCACCTATAACGAAAATTGAAGTAATAGTATATCATTGGGATCGATTGGTGAATTGCGTGCAATACAAACACAGCTTGTTAATTGATATTTTGCGTGACATTATTCTGTCCAGTGTTTCTCTTTTTACAGCTTATATACTAACTGTTGGCCGTTTACAACAGTTGTATCTAAATTTTCTAAAATGTTAAACTGTGCTACTGTTTTAATATTCGGATGTTCTATGGTGTCGTCTGCTTGTCAAATTTCTATTTCCGGTTATAAAGGGGAACTTGGCAGTGATCCAAGACTAGAACAGAAAATCCTGAAAATCGAGTATACACTGAAAACAACACTAAAAAGACACGAAGAGTTGCTCAACCAAATTCTGGAAAAGAAATATAATGGTATGAAATAATGTATAAAATGTATTGCATGTCATTTTAATTTTTTATTCTTCTTTTAAAATGTGTCTGGGAACTCACATCTGTGAGACTTTCGTACTTGATCATTGTATAGAGAGCTCCGTTTACCATAAGTTTTTATTTATGAGGATGGTGATGGAACAGATTTTTGGTGGTTCGCGTTTAACTTATTCACATCTTTTTGCAAAGACACATGTTTATTGTTGAAGATTGTATTTTGTCGTCTTCTGTATGTCCCTTTCTTTTGGTTATTAGTTTTATCGGGTTGTTGCCTTATTGAGGTACATTGTGTATTCTATATCTCCTTGTAATCGAATAGACACAATGTGTGATCGATTATAGTTTGATTTTGATGAAGCAATACAACATTCGATTATAAATTACTTTGCTGAACGTACGACTTCAAAAAATAAGAAGATAATGTATGATTATTAATGAGACAACTCTTCTCCAGCGACCCAATGACGTAGACGTTTACAACTATAGGTCACCGTACGGCCTTCCACAATGAACAAAACCCATATCGCAAAGTAAGCTATTAAAGGCCCCGAAATGACAAATGTAAATAAAATTACAAAAGGCACATCAATTGTCCTTTGTATAATTGAGACAAGACGAACTGTATCTTTATAAATACAAACTTTCCTTTCTTTTTCAAAGATCTGGTTCCAGCTAATATACGTTTGGAGGATGTGTCTTACAAGAAAATGACAGGTCAAAGTTCCTCGCACTCTGGACACGGACCATCAGGCAGTGCTGTTGACGGCGATTTATCTACAATGTTTCATACGAATAATGAAAAGACGCCATATTGGTGGGTAGACCTTGGAGGATCCTTTTCAGTTCAACATGTTGAAATTTGGAATAGAGCACATAACTACGGTAAGACAATGTATCCCTGTTGTTGGCATAAATGAAAAAATTGTGAATTAAAATACTGAACTTAACGGTTTAGGATCTATTGTAGTAAATCATACTGCAAACGTTCAATTTAAGCAGTCTAAATGAGTTGACTGTATATATTTTTATGTCAAATACAGTTACTAATCGTATATTGCGTTGGGCCACGCCTACCACTTGAAATTCGTAATGAAATGTACACACTTTTCATTGTTGATATTCCATTTTAAAATCTGCCGCATGATTTTAACTTCACGTTTTTAATCCGCCAAAGTCAGAGGCCTTTTATATGGTGAAAGCAGTTTTTAAAATATTTTTTTCATCAAAATGAAAACACAAAATTGGTATAAAAATTGTTTTAAATTGTAACATAAAGACAACATTAGTGTATTGACTTGACATTATAACGATATAAGGATTCGGCACGAAATGCAGAAATAACTTGGCAGAGCCTTCACGAATTTCCCCCGTTCTAAGCATTATCTTTACATCGTTAGTATGTCAAGTTCGTACAATATTATTGTCTTTAAATGATCATGCTAACTGATTATCGAATTGATGACTGCCTGATTTGCTGCATGCACTTTGCAAATGATATGTTATAGTTATTTGGAGCCCAAAACCTTTTTTTATGAATGTCGTTTCAGTTTCAATTAACTATAAAAAATTCTGAGTAAGCTATAAATCTTTGAATAAACTTATCCTATTAGAAATGAATGTTTATTTAGTCGTCCTGCACACTGAGCAACATATGGCGGAGTCTCAAATACTTTTAGGGAGCATATCACAATCATACACGTATCTCATTAAACGTTCAATACAAATCATGATTTCTCATTTGTACATCCTACACAGCGTTAAACATTTTCATTTCAGGTCGTCGACTCCATGATTTGGATATTATGATTGGTCCAACTCTACGTGAAATGAAGCCATGTACTTATTACAAAGGCCCTGCTAGTAATGGGGAGCACCTTATTCTGAACTGCCGCAAAACTACGAAAGGAAGATATGTTAAGCTTGCCTTACGAGGTCGCGAATGGCTACACCTTAGAGAAGTTAAAGTGTTTGCGTATGTCAAGGCTTGTTGAAGCAAGTTATTAAAGATGCCATATGCTCTTTTTATTTGATTTATTATAATTTACCATGCTATTGTGTTACTAGGAATTTAAAATACCATTAATCTTACAGGTGTACGTATCATGTTATTGTCATATCTACCGAATGATTTCGGGACGTTGATTCAGCTTTGATTGGTGTCGATGAACATGATTTGGTTTCAGAGGATTTGTATTTTTAAAATGTGGAACAGTTTCTGTCTTCTGTAACACCTGAAATCACCATCGGTTTTCGATATGGTACTTTATTTTTTCTCTGTCTTGAGATTTCTGTCGTCTATGAACTGTTTAAAGACTGTTGTATGTATGTCTGCGTTTTTTGACATGGTGTTGTCAGTTTGTCTTCGACGTTTGAGTTTTGAATGTCCCTTTTCTTTCTTTGTCCTCTTGCTGCAATGTTTAAACGTTTTCCATGATGATCCTTAAACTATCTAACAGAATCAACGGCCCAGTCTGTCCATATAAATTTAATGACAGTTTTTTAGTGCATTTGTTAACCATTACACTAAGAAACACATGATATGATTTCCTTGCCAGTAACACGTATTTCTTGACTTTAATCACAACGAAACACATCCTGCAAATGCATGACATACTTGCCGCTGGTCGATAAATAATATAACGTTAATCGATTAATATCCCTCCATGAACCTACAATACGTTTTCGTTTCCCAATACTTCCATCTAATATTTAGAATAGGCCTTAAACGTAACAGGGTTGTATAAATATGGCACATGTGGACTTCTCCGGTCTTCTTTTACGGTAAATGGTGGTTTCCGGTTAGCTGTGCCACGTCAAGTTTGAATGAATATCTCAAATTTAATGGAATATTACTACGCTCTGCACTTTGTAAAAGGTCAATAAAGCTGGATTAAACTTCTCACCTTACCCAACGTATCCTCATTTACACTGAAAAACTTATGACATGTGTTTTTTTGCAACATCCGTTAATACACTCGAGATTGAGTAATTTGAAAGCAAAATAGTAATCAAAGTTTTAAAGCATAAACAAAAAAAAAACAGGACCAACCACAGCGACGAATTCATCATGAATACGCACGAGTTACATATAGATGGCAATGTGCGTTGAACAAAATAACATTTCAGTTTCACTTATGCGTGTCTTTTTTCATACATATATATGAATTATAAATTTGCTTAACGTCCAGTTGGCAATATTGCACGCATATTCAAGACAAAAATGTATAAACGATAAATACAATTAACAATTAATAAACACAATAGGTTCCAGATAGTGGGTCAACCTAGATGAATAGCTGCAAATAACATGGTATTACCCAACACAAAACATCGCAACCTATTTAACATCCGCATTCGACCTGAAGTGACTAGCTGTGCAATGTAGGATAACATCTCTTTAACGTTGAATTGTGTAGGAGATAGTTCAGGTGGATAAATGAGGCTGACCGGTGGTTGATTAAATATCTTTATTTATTATGTAATTGATACTGCATATAAAGTACATGTACCTCTCGACGAAAGTCACTACGAAAAGCTTTTTTTATTGTATGTGTGTATATATTATTGATCAGTTTAATTGAGGTCCGAAGCTGGCATGTCAGATACTGTTAGTAAGCCTTTGTTTTTTTTATCATTGCTATTTTGCTTAGTTTCTTCTTATTTTAACATCGGACTTGGACTTCTTAAAACGTTTTTATTATGCCTATTGATATATAAAAATAAGAAGATGTGGTATGATTGCCAATGAGACAACTTTCCACAAGAGACCAAATGACACAGACATTAACAACTATAGGTCATTGTACGGCTTTCAACAATAAACAATGCCCATACCGCATAGTTAGCTATAAAAGGCCCCGAAATGACAAATGTAAAACAATTCAAACGAGAAAACTAACGGCCTAATTTATGTACAAAATGATGAACGAAAAACAAATATGTTACACAGTACTTAACGACAGCCACTGAATTACAGGCTCCTGACTTGGGACAGGCACATACAGAATGTGGCGGGGTTAAACTCGTTTGAAGGCACCAACTCCCCTAACCTAAGACAGTGGTGTAACAGTACAACATAAGAAAAAACTATAAAAAATCAGTTGAAAAGGCTTAACTCATCAGATAGATACAAACAGAAATACATCTAACAAAAACACAGAGTAGACGTGGACGGGTACTTATACATCTACACAACAGAAAGACACTAAGTACAGATCTGAGAGTACTCGCAGTTACTGACAAGTAGTTCAAAGGCTGAAAAGCCAATAACAACTAATGAAAAAAAAAATCATTCATTTAAGACTTAAATATCAGTCAGTCCACATCCAACATCCAATGGATTTAGTGTAAAGACGTCATAAACAGTCAGAGAAAAACATGACAATGCCAAGATACAGGTATCGACAGATTGTAAAGCCATTGATGTGCAAATGTATATAAAAATAATATTTAGTTTGATTTTAATTTACTGATAACAAAATCAATATTAACACCAATAAAAACAATATTCAAAGATCTAATTACAGTGTTATATTGGTAACCTTTTAGAATAAGTTTATTTAAAGGATCTATAAGTTTACCCGGATCGTTTCCAAATTTCCAGGCTCGGTAAACAAAATCTCCGTAAAAATGAGGATGTGCTATCCCGTTTGAAATAAGTTTTATACAGCTACAACCAAACTTCAAAATCAAATCATTATATCTATGGAAGCATTTAGTAAAGGTTTTAGGTAATTTGTGGTAACGAAATCCCTGACTTAATAATTTACCCGTAATACATAGATTACGTTCATTAAAATCCAAAACGTTACAACAGACACGGGCATAGAGAACGAGTTGTGATATATAAACACCTTAAGATGGCGCCTAAGGAACATCACCGTCCAAAAAAGGAAAATTAACAACAGGGAACGAAAAATCGTCCCTTTTGTCGTAACTTTTAGTGTAGAGTTTCCCGTGTAAAACTGAAATATCTAAATCTAGGAAAGGACAGTTATTACCGTATATATTTGATTTATTTAAAGTAAGTTCCTTTGGAAATTTCGGCAGTATATTTAGAAAATGTTTAATCAGTTAACGAAACAATATCATCAAGATAACGGTAGATGTTGTTGAATTTATCAATTAAATGTAATTTAGACGGGTCTTTCCTTAGTTTGGTCATAAACTGTGATTCATAACAGTACAAGAACAAGTCTTCTATAAAAGGGGCACTATTGGTGCCCATATAAATACCTAATACCTGTCGATAAACTTTATTGCCGAAACGTACATAAATATTATCAAGGAGAAAATTAACAGCTTCAATCGTCTCATCACACCTCAAGTAAGTATATCTAGCATATTTACCTTTCTCATTAGAGAAGAAGGCTTTAAATGAGTTGCAGCAAATATATTTGCATTCAGATTTACCAAACGACCATTTAATTAAATAGGAAAACTTTTGTTTGATAAGATTTTGTGGAAGTGAAGTGTAAAGAGTTGAAAAGTCAAAACTGTCAACAGAATCAAAAGGACCATCAAAAGCACGTAATTTATCTAAAATATCCATAGAATTTTTTACACTAAAAAAAATAGTTAATTCCACTATTTTCATATATTTTGTTACAAAAGTTAATGATAAGTTCTTTGATAGTAGTTAAGGAACTAGTTAAAAGCACTGAAAGATTAGTTGTAGAACACTCACTAGAGGCCGAGATGAAACGATATTTTACTTTTTTTTTTGTATAGTATAGGTAACCAATACATAGTAGGGACCTTCAAATGTTCAGAAGAGGCCTTAAGCTGTGATGTGGTTATGATATGTTTGCTTACTAAATGACTCTCCGAGGAGCGCACAGACTTGAATGTATAAGAATTTAAAATTTCATTCTTCAGAACGTCCATGTGGTATTTACGACATAAAACCACCACATTGTTGGCTGCTTTGTCGGCCGGTACAAACACAAACCGCTTTGAAAGTACTTGAAGTTTGTTTCTTATTCTAGAAATAGGCGTATTATGTACTCTTTTGTTTACTTCAGAATTTTTTTCAAAATGTGATATTCGAATATCCACTACATTCATACGTTTATTTAAATAAGAATCAAGATTTTTTATCAGATTTTTACCGTTTACACCAATTTTTACAATACGATGAAAGAGCGTCTTTGTGACCTGACGACACTGTTTCCAATCTATTTTAGATGGAAGACGATATTTTGGTCTTTTTCTCAAAAAGTTTTTAACCTCTCGGTCTTGAACGATATTGATGTCCCCCTGTGCTGTTTATGATCTTCAAGTTTATCGATACGCGGGAACAGCCTATGGTGGCAAAAAGCTGTAATTATACGCGAACATTCATAGAGTGGGCTGAAGAACGAGATTGTGTAACACTCCTGGAAAATATCATGGAATTTACTAATTGGTATTTGACCTTGTTTACATAATAATTGATGCCTACCATTGTTTTTAAATATAAATAGGAGATCAGCAAGTGTATCATTTATACGATTTTTAGTTTGTTGATTTCGATTGATACGTTTGCCATGAGAACTATTATTACGTTGTCTTTTATCAACAATATTCATGATATCAATAGAAGAAGGGACAGGTGTGTTTGTTTATTCCACATTGGCTAGATATATAAGGGTAGAGATCTCACAAACCACATTTAACCCCGCCGCATTTTTACGCCTGTCCCAATTCAGGAACCTCTAGCATTTGTTAGTCTTGTGTTTTTTTTTTTTAAATTTTGGTTCATTTGTATGTTTCGGAGTTTAGAGTGGTGTCCATTTCGCTGAACTAGCATATATTATTGTTTAGAGGCCAGCTTAGGGAGAGGGACTTTCTTGCTGCGTTGAAGACCCATTGGTGGCCTTGGGCTGCTCTTTGGTCTGGTTGTTGTCTCTTTGACACACTCCCCATTTCCGTTCTCTATTCTTTTAGTATTTTTGTATTAATTTTAAGCATTTTACAGTTTTTTTGTCAATAAGATGGATTATATGTTATCAGTCATTGGTTGTAGTGTTGGACT